ACAAGGTTGCTGGATACTTCTTAAGCTAAACCAGAATATTCAGCAGCAGAATTTCAAGATAGGAGCACATATAATGCCTCAACCCCCACCTAGCCTGCTCTTCAGAGTGACTGGTGGGAGGGGGGGTGCATCTGTACTTTATGGATCAAATGTATAAGTTTGCTTACTTTGCTTTTTCAATAAAGGAGCATTACTTTAATTACTTGATAAGTTAGCTTTTCACCATATAATCAATGTCTCATATAAACTCATTCATATGAGAAGCCAATATTTTATGAGCAACTGGTTCTAGTAAAGTCCAAAGTAAAATTTGCATATATATGCAAATCAGCATTAGCCAAAAAGAATGCTGTTTAGAAGTAAATTTAAGCTTAAAATGAAGAAATTTAAAAAATCTCTTCCACTGCTATTTACGGAGTAACCTAAAAGTTATTACTAAAACATTAAATCTCACCATTAATGAGACACCAAAGGTAAAAAGAAAGTTACTTTTACTTGAGATGTATGCATTGCAGTATTGGTCAGCATGTCTCTCTCCTACCTGTTTTTTGGATGGCAACCAAATTGGTTGCTCTGTTTGAAAAAAAGTAAAAGTCTTTAATGTAGCAATTTGAGGTTTATAAGTAAAAACAGCAAGGATTAAGGTTCAGTAAAAATAAGAAGTTAAGCCAGTGAATGGGAGATCATAGCCTCAGGAAATTTAAAGTACTAAATTTGGCTGGAAATAGGTTCTACCCTTTTCCACATTATTAACAAATCAGAAAAATCAGGCAGAAGAAAAACCCTTTAATAGCAAGAGCAAAACTAGAAAAATACCCCCCCCCCAGGTTAACTGATCTCCCCCTAGCAAATAACTAGTCAGGCAACTAAAACCCCTACCCTAATCTTTTCCCCCCTAAAGATAACATCTAGGCCTGACTTGTATTTCAGCTCCAGGCCCAGAAAAACAGCAAAACTAGACAAGTGACACTGTGACAGCCTCAGGACCAACTTTTACCTCCCAAGTCACTCAACAGGACCATTTTTGAGTCTTCACCAACCAGTCTCTTGGGGAAATTATGCTGCTGCACCCCTTGTCCAGCCCACTACTATCAAAGTCCATTCCCCTGTGATCTCAACATCCCACCTTAGCAGGAGGTAATTACAGAAGATATGAACTTTGTCCCTATTCCATAAAACAAAAAGGCTGGAATGTTAGGTTTGATTGAACAATTGAATCGATACTCCTCCCCCAGGAACTGGCTTTTCAGGTCATTTCACTATGGACATTCCCTTTGCTGAAACCACATTTCACTTGCTGTGACCACATTCCATTACCTCCCCTCCAGGAATGCATAAAGAAGTCTCTGCCCAGAAGCCAATATTTTATGAGCAACTGGTTCTAGTAAAGTCCAAAGTAAAATTTGCATATATATGCAAATCAGCATTAGCCAAAAAGAATGCTGTTTAGAAGTAAATTTAAGCTTAAAATGAAGAAATTTAAAAAATCTCTTCCACTGCTATTTACGGAGTAACCTAAAAGTTATTACTAAAACATTAAATCTCACCATTAATGAGACACCAAAGGTAAAAAGAAAGTTACTTTTACTTGAGATGTATGCATTGCAGTATTGGTCAGCATGTCTCTCTCCTACCTGTTTTTTGGATGGCAACCAAATTGGTTGCTCTGTTTGAAAAAAAGTAAAAGTCTTTAATGTAGCAATTTGAGGTTTATAAGTAAAAACAGCAAGGATTAAGGTTCAGTAAAAATAAGAAGTTAAGCCAGTGAATGGGAGATCATAGCCTCAGGAAATTTAAAGTACTAAATTTGGCTGGAAATAGGTTCTACCCTTTTCCACATTATTAACAAATCAGAAAAATCAGGCAGAAGAAAAACCCTTTAATAGCAAGAGCAAAACTAGAAAAATACCCCCCCCCCCAGGTTAACTGATCTCCCCCTAGCAAATAACTAGTCAGGCAACTAAAACCCCTACCCTAATCTTTTCCCCCCTAAAGATAACATCTAGGCCTGACTTGTATTTCAGCTCCAGGCCCAGAAAAACAGCAAAACTAGACAAGTGACACTGTGACAGCCTCAGGACCAACTTTTACCTCCCAAGTCACTCAACAGGACCATTTTTGAGTCTTCACCAACCAGTCTCTTGGGGAAATTATGCTGCTGCACCCCTTGTCCAGCCCACTACTATCAAAGTCCATTCCCCTGTGATCTCAACATCCCACCTTAGCAGGAGGTAATTACAGAAGATATGAACTTTGTCCCTATTCCATAAAACAAAAAGGCTGGAATGTTAGGTTTGATTGAACAATTGAATCGATACTCCTCCCCCAGGAACTGGCTTTTCAGGTCATTTCACTATGGACATTCCCTTTGCTGAAACCACATTTCACTTGCTGTGACCACATTCCATTACCTCCCCTCCAGGAATGCATAAAGAAGTCTCTGCCCAGAATGAAGCCCGCCAAAAGTCCTTTAAAAGCTGCTGACTCCTGTCACTGGGTGCTGGAGCCATGCAGACTCAGCCACCTGGCATGTAGATGATTGAATAAATTCATAATCCCTCACCATTCTGGCCTCGTACATTCCTCCTTCAGCGACCTAACAATATATATTTCAAATAAAATACAAGACAGATTCATTAATAGACTCAAATCTATATTCTAGAGTCTCTGTAATAAAAATCCAAAAGTAGGCAAACTCAGATTAATTAATATTTGAGTATCCTGTTATTTCAAAATATCTAGATATTTTAATTTTTATTTGGGAGATGTGAGGAGAAGGCCACAATTTCTGCTTGGTCCCAGGCTGTGCTGGGCTTGCTCTGGCCTGGCTCTGCCTGTAAAGGAGGTGTTGACAGAATGATGGGGTGGGAGGTCCCCAGATGAGGGCACTGCAAGGCCAGCATGCTGGGAGGTGACTGCCTGGTACCTTGTTCTGGGGCTTCTGGTCTCTGCTACCTATTGATTATTGTGACTTGGGGCAAGTCCCTTGACTTCCCTAAGCCTCACTTTCCTCTTCTCTAAAATGGGGCCAATAATGAATATGCAGTAAAAGCATTATGTGGGCATGAGGCACACTAGATTCCTGAGAGCCATTATCTTTGGGAAGGGCAGGAGGAGCTCCATGGGATGCAGAGGAGTACATAAAGGTCCTTATCTCTGTATGGGTTTTTTTTCATGCCTAAAATGAGACATGAAGCCAATGTGGAATATTATGAAGATTGGACAAACCTGGGTGATAGGTGTGCAGGTGTTTTTTTCTTGCATTTTGTCTGCATGTCTAGCATATTTCATAATAAAACCAACATCCAATGACAACATTATACACAGGATTCAAAATGTGCCGACCCTCAGGCTCCTCCTACAGGAGCAGAGCTGGTGTGCTATGCGACTATACGCAGCTGTGTGAGAGGACTCTAAACCGCCATGATGGTGGGACCTTGCTGTCAGAGGTGTTTATGAATCCATCCATTTTAGGTTAAATGAGTAGCAAAAAGCATTGTCCAAATTCATATACTCCTGTGACATATGATTTCAAATAAGCATGTGTAACTCAGGACTAGTATTATAAGTAGAATCAGTAACGGGGTTTGGGGACGGGGATGAGAGGCCCCCCTAACCCAAGCCTGTTGCAAGGACAGGGGGTAGCATGCAGGAGGCTCTCCCCCCTCCCCCCGTCTACTCCACTGCCAATTACTGGAACCCTGCCAATTCCAATCATCACCCAGATCACTGGTTCTCAACTCTGGGTGCACATTAGCATCACCTGGGAAGCTTTCCCAAACTAGGAATAGTCATGCCTCACCCCAGGGTGACTCTCCTGTGTAGCCAGGCTGGAGAAAAGCCTGGCTTTGGCAGTAGGGGCTGCTCCCTGAGCTCTCCCTCTCACATACTTTGATAGAGGGCTCTGGATCTGAGCACAATCAATTGCCCTTTTGGGGGGCAAAGCCGTGTGACACTGGACAAACTTTCTGAGCACATTCCCCAGAAGTCCTGACCCTCTTGCCCCAACCCAGGGAGGACTGCTGATTTTTAAGAGGGTTGAAATGGAAAGAGATCATCCTTTTTACCATGAGGCTGGGTGGATGAGGCTCTACTTAGAAATCTGGTCTATTGGTGACTTCTCCATCCACATCTTCTGGCTCTTTCTCAAAACTCTGATCTTCCTTTGACTGCTCTGGCTCTGCCCTTCACAACCTTCACACACATGCACACACACACTGCCATCTCTTCCTCTTCTGTTCACCGACTTGTCACAGCACCCTGCACCCCAACGAGGTTCTGACATTGTTTCTGCCTTTTGTGTTAGGGTCGCTGAAGGAAGTACGCACGAGGCCCAAAGTAGTAAAGAATTATAAATTTATTAGGTCATCTGGAAACCAGATGGGCTGAGCCCCAAAATGGTGCCAGCACCCAGGGACAAGGAGTCAGAGGTTTTAAAAGACTCTAGGTGGGCTTTTTTGGTGGGGAAATCTCTGGGCAGGTCTGGATCCTGGACAAGTCTAGAGGGGAAAGTTACTGGTCTAAATGGAATGTGGTCTAAGCAAAAGTGAATGTCAGTTGCAAAATGATCTAAAGATCAGTTTTCCAGGGAGAGGGGTATCAATTCGATTATTTGATCAGTATGGAATAGGGACAGAGGTAATTTCTTCCTTAGTTATTTTCTGCTGAGAGGGAGCGTTGAGATCAAACTATGATTGTGGTCACCTAGAACATTGTATAGACTCCTCATGATTGGAGCAAGGGATTGGAGCAGCATGATTTCCCCCAAGAGACTGGTTGGTGAAGGCTTGAAAGTGGTCCTGAAGGAAAGATGAAAAATGACACGGAATACATGGGCCAAAAACGAGGATGATGAATAGGAATGTTAATGGTCCTATGAAGGGAAGTAGATACCAATTAATATAGTTTTTAGGCAGTAGTCCTATGAATTTGCAAACTATGATAAAACAGTGGTTAAGCCCCCTATGCTAGTCCAGACATCTGCTGAGATACCAAGGGTTATGAGGAGAGGGATTATCTGGTTATGTCAGATATGATGGGTTACTGGGACAGGTAAAGACTAATTATTGGGGGGCTATGTCTATGTTGAAGGTATATAGAAAAAAATCCCTAGCACATGTCAAATCATTAATTAGTCAGTGCTTGATTAAGATCCTGGGTGGAGTTTGTATGTGAAACCCAAGGCTGAGGACACCTGTTGAGTGACTTGGGAGGTAAAAGCTGGTCCTGAAGCATCCATGGCATTACTTATCTGGTTTTGCTGCTTTTCTGGGCCTGGAACTGAAACACAACTGAGGCCTACATGTTATCTTTAGGGAGGAAAAGGTCAGGGGGTCTAAACTGCCTGACCAGTGATATGCCAGGGGAGGACAGGTTACCCTGGGGGCAAAGTTCTTGTTTTCCCAGTTTTGCCCTTTGCTAGGCATCTGGAGCTTTCTGCCCTGGTGAGTTTCTGTACCTGGACAATTGCCCTTGCTCTGGAGGTCTGTAGTCCCCCCTTCAAGGATTTTTGGCACTGAATTCTTTCATAGAAGAGGGATGCATGGTCTCTTCGGTAGCTTCTTCCTGCTGAAAAGGGGTGACATTTTTCTTCAGAGACAAAAATCCTTGCATTCTGTGAGAGGGATGATGAGGCCTGGGCACAGAAGGAGGTTGTGATGGTGTCTAGGAGAGGTATTTCCTGGGTACAAGTAGGGCTTGTAACTTGATGGAGACAAACTGTTTTATAAATCTTAGTATTATTGGGACAAAAGCTAGAACAACAAGATTTATGACAAATGGTTCAGTGGAAGGAAAAGTGTTTTAGTCTTTACTGATTCCAAGTCAAAGTGTAACGGGACAAACAATGGGTTCCTTCTACCTGTCACTACTCAAGCCAATTAAGCAGAGACAGGGTTGAATCATATATGAGCATTTAGTCCAAAACTGCCGGCACCAGCAGTATGAGAGAGCAGCAGCTTAGCCACAGAAATCTGCTCTGCAGCTCACCATAAGTCAGGGGCTTATATAGCAAAAACCCAAAGGAAAAGTAGGCAAAAGGGCAGTATACAGAGATGCAAATGGACTAGGGGTCTTCAAAGGGCTTAGTGATATGCAAGGGTTGGCATTACATGGGCAAATAGTCAAAGGGAGTGCCAGGTGGACAATTAACAGGTAAGCAGGCTGGAGCTCTGCAAAGGCCTGCAGGGATGCCAAAAGGGCTGGGGATCTTCAAAGGGCTGGCGACTCTGGTTTCTGCAGCAAAGTTGTTCATCTTTCCATGATAATAGGCAGCTCCAAATAGGGAGGAAGGGCTGCATCTCCAGGTCAGCTCCAGCCAGGGTAGAAGTGCCTTCTTTAATCAGAATAAAACAATCATGGTGAACAGAGCATGATTGATATTTCTTTCAATACTAGCTGGTTCCCCAAATCATATTGCTGCCCCCTTTCATTTCAAAGGACAAAGGTTCATTTAACAACTATATCTTGTGTGCCTACTCTGTGCCAGGCACTGTTGTGAGCTCTGGGAAAACAGCAGTGAACAAGAGACAAACATTCCTACTCTCCCTTTCTATGGTTACATACATTTCAGTGTATGGAAGACTGGATTAATTGGATGTTTTACAAATATGCACAAATTAAAGAAAGGTGAAGAGAGTAGATTACAGAAAAGGAAAAGGAAGAGGGAGAAGAACCATGTGAGTAGTAGCCTTTCTTGTTTTCAGGTCAGTTCATTAGTCTCAGATGTCTCTTTATGCCGGGTATGGCTTCTGCCTTAAAGCCAGTGCCCCAATCAACATAAACTGATGAACAAAAATATGGCCAGAGACAAGGTAGCACTGAACAGACCATCCAACCTCAGAGAGAAGGCGG